CATGGATTATTATATATTTGGAAAACCAGTTTTTTTTCTCAAATATTACATATTCAATATTACATATATATTCAAACTGAATATTCGATTCGATTCCAAAAATACATAATTTTCAAAAACTTATCGTTTCATATTTAAAATATTGTCATATAGAGAATGTTAAAAATAACTTTGTTAATAGTAAATAAAGTTTTAAAAATTGAATAAATTAGAAAAAAATTATTAAATTTTCAAGGACTTCTTTAAGTTCAAATTTTATTATAAAATATTCGTTTTTTTATCAGAACATAAATTAATTTAATTTAGTTTGTATTTGTTTATTTTTCATTGCAGTAGTAATTTTAAATAATTTATAACAAAAAAAAAATGATTTCGTTTACTTGGAACGTTCAGAACTTCTGGGACATTATATTGCATAACAAAATTAAAAGTAAACAAATTGTCATCGCAATAGTAAATTAATTTTTAATAAAAATTAATAAAATTTCATAAAGATATTAAACAAAATAATGAAAAAAAGGCAAAATCAAAAATGTAAATAAAAAACAAGTAAAAATATTAACACAACAATAAAAAATTATTAGTAACAATAAATAATAATCAACTGTAAATTAATATTCAACAAGAATGAATGAAATTTCAACCAAAATGACATAAAGAAACCAAACTAAAAATAAAAAACAAATATTCAATTAGAAAATAATTAAAAATATTATGTTATCTATACAAGGAAAAATAGTAAGTTATCAAAATTAAATTTAACTAAATGGCAACAATAATAATAAAACTAAGGCTTTATAACAAAAAACTTGTTATATAAAAATCGAAAAATCAATCGAATTTTTAACAGTAAAATATATAATAATGAAAAGAAGAAAAAGAAAGTTAAACAGAACAAAAAAAAAAAAATGAAATCGAAAATTGAATGAAAAATCCAAAGAATGAAACGATAATAAATCCTATTATAATCATAAAAATCTTCATCACTTGCACTTTCTAATCCCTCTTAGCACCCGAATTGATTTCTTCTAAAAAGAAAAATATATTGGGACCATCATTATAACACGCAAGTACATGAATACAAAGTTAATTTTCCCTTTCTTCAGAAATTCCTTTTTCCACAAAATTAATATATCTCTCTTATAACCAGCGATAATAGAAATAGTCTCAACACAAATCTATTCAGATGCTGCTGCCTGCATCTAACTCAATATATCTTATCCAAACGCCGATCGAGAGTGCCACGCGCCATATGTATATATATATATATAGTATACTGGGTCATATTTTATAATCTCATGGTGCCCCATGGTGATACGTTCCTGAATTATAATGTAACGGAGTGTTGCATTCAAAACCTATAGTAGAATCGCGCGGTGACGGGGTCCCCCACCTGTTTCAGAGACCAAGTAAGTTGATCGGGCTGCCTACAACCAAGGGGAAATATCGTAGGCGCGGCAGTTTTCTGACGCTGCTCCTCCATCAAAGAAGCCCATGAACAAACGGGGGCTTTCCCTTTTTGTATTGTTGTTGCCTTGTGGTTCCATTGCCCCAACAACGATCGATAATTCAAAGCAACCCCCAAACAACGTCTGGACATTGAAAACGACGCGACCCCTATAACGTTTCATAAGGCCTTAAGAAAGCGTTCACCAGGTGAGGATATTCTTTTTTTTAAAAAAAGCGTTCTCCATTTGAAAGTTTGGTTCCACCTTAATATTATGTGAAAGAATTGTTTAGTGCAAAATAGTCTTGATTTTTTTTTTTTTTTTTTTTTGAAATACAAGAACAAATGTCATGCGCATTCCATGCGTTGCGGATTATTGTTCATATACGCGAGGAAGGTGATTCAGTCATTTACCATATAGTGACTACATGTGCGCGATTTTAATATATAGTTTGATTTATTCATTTATGTCGAGAGCGAGCTTGATTCGCAACGTGGGCGAAATTTTGTTGATTATATACAATTTCTTGTCGTTTCCGCTTGTTTCTAGAAAACTATATTGTATATATTGAACAAAAGAGGAATCTTTTATCCAGGGTATGTAGAAAATCATTTAAAAATAAAATTCAAATATTTATTTATCCAATATTGATAAATAATATTTTGCAAAGTTTGTAAAATTTTATTGTGACATAATTTTATTTGATTAAAAATTTTAAAATCGAAATTAAATAGAAATAATTTTTATTGGATTCTCGACATTGTTTATATTGTACGAATATTGTTTATACAAACTGAAAATAGTTTATCCGCAAATTGCCAAATGTTATATTAGTGCATTACAAAATATTCTGAATTTGTTGACAAAAATTAATTTCCTTTGTTTAATTTTTAAATTAACATTGATTTTTAATTTTATTTGAATATGTATTTTTTAAAACATGTTAACCTTTTTTTTTGGTATATTTTAGTAAAAATATTTATATAAAAACTATAATAAATATTCATAATTATATACTTAAATCATAAATTTTATTTTATAATAAAAGTTGTACATCGAAATTATTTTTCGAGATATTTTTTTTTAAATAAAAAAAGTTATTAAAAAAATAAGAAAGTATTTGCAAAACTTGTTTAAAAAAAAAAAAAAAAAAAACGAACAATCCAAATGAAATTTTAACAATTTTTGAATATTGACGGAAAAAAATTCATTCATTGAAAATTTTAGTGCGTGTTCTCAATTGTATAGTACGTTGTCGTTTTGTAAAAACAAAGTGGCCTCCATTCGAGTTTCACAATCGAGAGGAGTCGAAGGTCTATATACATGAATGCCACAATGTCCTCGTGTAAAAGGCAGGTGTGGATTGTAAATTCAAGTGCCTAGTGTTTGATTTCAAGATGTGCTTTCTTATATGAACATAATTGAAAGAAAAAAATTTGAAAAACCGTTCCCAGTAGAACATGTCATTCAATATGAGTGATCTAATAAGTAGTAACGGCAATAAGCGTCAGACAAGTGCACTGATTCAATGTCGCAGATGCTGCACTGTGAATATGTATCTATTTGTTTCGATTCATATTTAATTCTCAACTATATTTCAAAAAATACTTCCTGAATTCCATGTAATATAATTTAATTCTTAAAAATAATAAATTTACCGTTACTTTCCTAATTTTATAGTGCATTTTACTCTCACATTTTATGAACATACTTCTAAAGAGCTTTTAAACTATTATTTTTAAAGCTATCATTAAATTTAAAATATCTTAAATATTTAACCTATACAATTATTATTATTATTTTATTAAAAGTTTTTAAAAAATTTATAAATTATAAATTGCAAAAAATATAATATATTTTGTAAAACGGAAAGTAATTTTTAAACAAATTTTTTTAATCTGTTGAAATAGAAAAAAAGTTTTATTTTTATTAACAAAAAAAAAATTAACTTTCATTTCTTTGAATAAACATTCGGTAGAAATATTTTTTGGCGCGAATTTTAAAATTAACCCATAATTCTCGCCCGCAAAAGTTTCTGACGGATGTTAATTCGAACAAATGAAAATTCTGTTAAATCATAACATTCAATCAAATAGAAATTCTGTTAAATGAATTGTCGATTAAGTAAAAATTTTGTAATATGAAAAATCGGTTATATGGAAATTCTGTCAAATAATAATAATTCAAACAACTGAAAATTCTATATACAATTAAATTCTATCTAAAATTCATTTAAATGGCTATTATGTTAAATAAAAATTCTAACAAGTAAAAATTGGACTAAAAAAAATTCTATATATTAAATAAAAATTCTAACAAATTAATTTTTATGCATTATTTATGCATCTCGCTTTTTATTCTAAATAATTAACGTTTGAAAATGCAATAAACTTTTTGAAAGTTTATTGAATCAAAAATTCATTTTGATTGATATTTGTTTTGCTTGTATTGTTTTTATAATTTCCACACGCGTCATGCCACGAGGATTTCCGTTTGTTTTTAATAAAAGTATATATCATGTTAAAGACAACAAATAATTATCATAAAAATGTCACGTAACGTTACTTTTGTCCGTTCAAAAATGATATTGCTTTCAGAGGCATTATAGATAAGAAATACACTTTGAAATACACACACACATATATATATATATATATATATAGGACAATTTAAGTATGTTCTTATACACACTATAGCAAGAAAACTATTTATAAAGTTTTAATGCAGCTTTCTCTTGCATTTATATATTTTTAAAAATGTATTCTCTTGTACAATGAAATCTGAGCCTCAAGTGTTTAAAAAAAAAAATAAAATAAAATAATTTTGTGATAAATGAGGCCAGTAAATACAAATATTTCCATCAGAGAAATATCAACAAAAACTTGTTTGATAAATTTTATACCTTTAGCAGAAATGCTATTGATTCAATAGCATATATTTTTCTCAGTGTGCATAATTAAGCAGAAAAAAGAGAAAAATAATTATAATAATTCAAATTTTTTTAATAAAAAGATGCAAATTCGAAATATTTGTGACGTAAGAAAATTCTAAAAAATACCTACAAATAAAATTAATAACTATTTTTATATTTTTATTTTATGGTTGAAAAACAAAAAGAAATTATCTATAAATGAATTTTAAGAAGTGTAATTAAGAGGTTTTCCCTGAATTACGAAATCTACGACCTTTCAAATAAACCGAATGAATATTATTTAACCTTCACATTCTAGGCTAATTATTCAATTAGTGTCCATCAAATTATCTTATTTTATTTGTTCTTTTGTCACTATGAAAAATCTCCGTTTCATAAGAAACTGCAAAACTTAGATTACATAAAACAATGTTAATTGAAAAACTATACTTGTCAAGTTGTAAAAAAAATTGCAAACAATTTTATATTATATAAAAAGAATAATTCGTATAATTAAAGTAATATTTTTTCACGTTATCATAAAATTGTTTCTCAATTATTAATTGAAACAGTCGAAGATTATTATTATTAGTAATAAATAGATTAATAAATTTTTTTCTAATTATTGTTGATTTTTTTAGGTCCAGGAACGATTGGAAGATCCTCCAGCACCTCTAGAGCCAATTTGCTCTGATATTTGTGACATTGTTGATGAGATTCGCCACAAATATTTATATTCATATAAGCCAAACGAGAGGGAATTGAATGCTCTATTGAAAAATTTACACCTGAAAGCTCTTTTAGAGACACACGACGCAATAGCGAAACTTCGCGATTCACCGCAAAGTCCAAATCCACGATTTTCAATTATGCCGGCTGACGAAAGAACGGAAGCTGTCCGAATGGTTGGACTGAGAAGACAGCCCGATGAACCATTGGTAAATTTTGAGATGCTTTATTTATGTTACAAAAAAAAAAAAAAAAAAATGACGCGTAAATATCAAAACAAAGTTTCTAAATTTTCAAAATATCTCATTTACAAAGCCCCGTGTCATTAAATTCGACTTCCGGACGCAGAGTTTACAAATTGAAACCTCGAATTTGACGTAATTTATAGTAACGATAAAAGCAATTTGAAAAGCAGTTGAAAATCTATCTTCGAAAATTCGTGCAATAATTTATCTCCTAGAGATGTGTACAAAATTGTTTTTCTCTAAAATTTAAGATAATTTTCATTTAATAAAATATTCATTTTACAAAGTTTTTTTTAATACAAATTTTTTAGAAAATGTTCTATCGTAGAATTTTTATTTAATATTTATATTTTTTTACTAACAATAAGTTAAATTTTTATATTTAATATCCAAAGAGATTTGTCGAATTAAAAATTTTGACTTGAAAATTCGATTTAATTATTTGCTAAATAAATATTTGTTTAAATAAAAAATCTACCAAATTGGAAATTCTATTAATAATAAACGACATCAAAATCGATAAATTTGAACTTATTAATTTTTGAAATTAATAATTTATAATTAAAATAAAATATGAATTTTCAGGGCTTAACAGTTCAAGTAGATGAGTCTGGAAATTTAATAATCGCTAGGATATTGGGTGGAAGTACAGCGGCAAAACAAGGTCTTCTAAGGATAGGTGAAGTTATTCTGGAAGTCAATGGAAAAGGAGTTCATACACCAGATGAGCTTCAACAGGCGATAATAGAAGCCAATGACAATCTCTCACTTAAATTGGCTCCCGGAATAGCGACAGAAGGAAATAAACCCGCAAGATCAACAGTAAGTGTTAAACTTGTTTTTTTCTTCTGCGAAACAAATATATTTTAAACAAGTTGTAAATTCAGATGTTCATTACATGAACATTTTGCTTCCTCTTTACGATCAGCAAAAAAATTTGCTTCCTCGTAGAGAAAGCATTAACATTGAAATAAACAAACAAAAATAATATAATAATATAAACATTAGAGTACCTATACATTTGAGTAAAATTTAAAGAATTAATGGAAGTTAAAAAATCAAAAATTCATATTTTAACCGAAATTTCTAAATATTAATGAAAAATAATATATAATTTATAATTATTTACAATTATATCGATTCGTTTTAATGCAAGGAACACAATTATTTTATATTTAAACTTGAATTTAAATAAATATAAAATTTCTCAGCTAAAATGTGTATTTTCTATTTTTTAACTTTCATTAATTTATTAAATTTACCTCAAATGTATACTTTATATAATAAACTGATCGATTCGTTTTCATGCAAGGAATACAATTATTTTATATATATAAACTTCAATTTTAAAAATTATAAAATTTTATTGCCAAAATGTGAATTTTTGATTTTTTAACTTTCATTAATTCTTTAAATTTAAATTAAAACTATACTTTTTATATACCGATCGATTTATCTTGACGTAAGGAATACGATTTTAGTATATGTAACCTTAAATTTTTATCCATTAAAACCTGTTAAAGTTATCTTCTAAACAAAAAAGGGATCCACACACACACATACATCCGGACAATTGATCAGAATCTCATATAACATGTTTCTATATAGAGAAAAATTTGTTTCCGACACTTTGAAAATTTTTACAAACGAAAGGACTACAAAGCTTCCTCCACGAGGAAGCAAAAAGAAAATATATTTTAAAAAATATAATTCATAACGACTTTTCTGATTTTTATCTACATTTTTAAATTAATTTATCATATTATATAAATGCAAAAAAAAAATTTTTCTCATGTATTTTTGAAATAAATATATTCTTTATGTTTCAATAAAATGTTTAAAACTTAAATGATTAAATTTATAATATTAATTAATTAATTAATAATTAATAAATTTTCTAAGAAAATATTTCAATTATTATTAAATTGTTTAATACAATAAATTTTTTTTATGTTCAAAATAATTAATATAAATAATTAACTAATAAATGAAATTAAATAATTTTGTATAATTAATTAATTTGTATCAATTAATGTACATTTGAAGTTCATTAAACTATTTTAATTAAAAATTTCAGTGCTACATGAGGGCCTTGTTCGACTATTATCCACAGGAAGATACGTTACTTCCTTGTATGGAAATTGGACTCGCTTTTCAGAAAGGTGATATACTTCAAATAGTGGATCAAGCCGATCCAAATTGGTGGCAAGCACGAAGGGTCGAAGGTGAAGGTCTAGGATCTCCGGGACTGATTCCTTCGCTTGAGCTTGAAGAGAGGCGAAAAGCATTTGTACCGCCGGAAGCAGATTTCGTCCACAAAATTAGTATTTGTGGTACAAGAATTTCCAAGAAGAAAAAACGCAAGATGTACGAATCGAAAGCCAATGGGGAATTCGATGGAGCTGAATTGCTTCTCTATGAGGAAGTTGCGAGAATGCCGCCATTCAGGCGTAAAACTCTCGCTCTAGTCGGACCTCGTGGTGTTGGAAGAAGAACCTTGAAAAATAGGCTAATCAACAGTGATCCCGACAAGTTTGGCACAATTGTACCTTGTGAGTTATTTTTTTTTTTAATTTTTATTAATTTTTTTTTCTTTTATTTCATTCTTAATTAAATAATAATAAACTCCATTTCGACGGTTGAATAAAAATTCAATTCAATATAAATTCTACTTTATAAAATTGAGACTTTTTACAAAAATTAATTTCAAAAAAGTAATTTATTGAATTATTAATAGACACATCTCGGCAACCTCGTGTCCTAGAGGAAAGTGGCAAAAGCTATTGGTTCACTGATCGAGAGGGGATGGAGACTGACATTAGAGAACACAGATATCTTGAGCATGGAGAGCACGGTGGTCATTTGTATGGGACAAAGTTAGATTCAGTGAGAGATTTAATTAGAGCAGGAAAAATGTGCATTCTGGATTGTAGTCCAGCTGCTTTAAAAATTCTTCACAACAGTACAGAATTTATGCCATACGTTATATTCATTGCTGCTCCGGGTATGGAACAACTTAAAAGTTTATACGATCTTGGAAGATCAACAGGAGCCAGCAATCGTAATTTGACGGTAACTTTTTTTTAATTTTCTAATGTTGAGAATTTTTTTTTTTTATGTTTAATATTAGAAAAATAAACATACAAATATTGAGAAAATAACTCATCTCAATCGCTCTGAGAAAATGAATATCACATAATGAGAGAAAAAGAATCTCATAATGATGATTAAAATGAAATTTGAAAATTGAACATTCAAACAAAATGGGATTACGAGGTATCGAATGAAAACCTGTAGTTATTATTTTATTGGAAAAAATATATTTTATATTTCGTTTGTAGGAAAACCTAACAAACAATAGTGCTCCTCAATATGTTGCTAGATATATTATGTCATTATTTATGATATGTATATTCCTAGATGCATGTTCGTTGAAAGTATATATATATATCGATAGAATATTCCATCTCATGTGACTGTTTTATTCATTTTTTTTCAAATTGATGTGATTTTTTTTGTTTTGAAAAATAGTTAGAGATCGATCCCTTTGAAAAATAGTATAGGTTTAAATATTTTTTTAAATGTATTATACAGTATCTGTTGAATGCTTTTAATTATTGTTTGTGTTTGATTATGGCTTTATTAGTTCGACCGACAGAGCTCCATCAGGTACAGTTCCAGGAGAGCGAGAACATTGGAATCACTTGCGTCATTATACGAGGTATGTTTCGCACGATTTTATCACTAACATGATCAAAAATAATTAGATAACTAAAAAATTTTTTTTATAATGTTTCAGTGAGCATATAAAGAATATCTCTAATCGCTATTATATTTTTTTTACAATTAGCATTTCTTCGATTTTTTTTTAGAAAAATTTGTACTTATTTATAATGTTAACAATAAATATTTATTTCCTTTCTATCAAACGTAAAATAATTTATTTTATAAGTAAGAATATTAATTTATTTATTAAAAAAATACTAATTTTTTAATTAAATGCAATTTTCTAAAAAAAAAAATTGATCACTGAAATGTCTTTTTTAACAGGAAGATGATTTGAAATCGACACTGGAAGAATCAGCTGCCTTACAAAGAGCTTATGAAAAATACATTGACCTAGTTATCGTGAACGAAGACTTTGATAACACGTTCCGACAAGTTATTGATGCTTTAAATACCTTAGCAACCGAACACCAATGGGTTCCTGTAAACTGGATCTATTAACTCTTCAAAATATCTGCCAGATATAGTAATAATGTCACGTGAAAATTTATAAAAAATATTAGTTCAGTAAATTTAAAAAGGAAAGAGGAAACACTTTTACAAATAAACAAGAAATTAATCACGCCACTCATATATATTTGTAAAATAATCAATGCGAAAGAGAGCATAATATTCAAAAAGCTTCAAACTTTAAAAGGGACTTTAACATTTATTATTTTCTATTTTTTTTTGGCAAGAAAGACAGTTGGATTTTTTGTTAATGTTTTAGCGAGTACAAGAGTAGCATTTACGTTAGTTTGTTAGTTCTTTTTTATTATCAACCCGTTTATCATGAAGAAGAAAAATCAATGCAGATAGAAAATATTTTTCAACTTATTTAAAAAAATTAGGCATTAAAAGAAATCAAAATTATTCAATAAAATTTTGGAAATTCTACAACAAAGATTCGTTAAAAACAAAAACCAAGAAAAAGAGAGACTTTCAAAAAATAAAAATATAAACGGGTTGTGAGCATTAGACGGCCGTCCAATTATTTTGTAAGATGTTTTTAAATGTTTATTTAATATGTTTTTTTAGCTGTTCAAACAGCAGTTTTTAACTTGAGATTTTTATTTTTTTTTCTTCTATTTGTTCACACTATTTTTGGCACCTAGTGCCATAAGTTGTGAAGCCTTTATATTATTATAGGACATCCCAAAAATTTATTCCAAAAGAGGAAATAAAATTTGCTAATTACATGATTTTCTATGAAAAATGCATATTTATGCAAAAACAAAACAAAAACAATAAATACAAAAAAGAAAAATGTAAACGGAAAAATTAAATATTGTATACGTATTTGTAAATTGTACAATCTGTACATCGATACGAGATGTGATCTCGCTTTAATGAGTGATACACCAGAGCGAATAAAGTTTATGAAACATTTGTTACGAACTCTTGAGTCTTTAAGTTGACTTTTATTGATCATGAAAGATCGAAAAACCCTATCCACTTTCATTAAGTAAGATAAATAAAAGAAAAATTATTTAGTCTTTGATTTATGAAGTAACACTTTGAGAATCATTCTCATATTATTCATTTAATTGCTTTTTGCGTTTATTGTACTATTTGAATTTAAATTTTGGAAAATCTCCAAGTTGAAAAATTTTAATTTGAAGAAAAAAATGTATTATTATTTTATGCAAAAAACTGAATTTTTACAAAGATGCAAACAGTTTGCATTTTTGTTTAAAAAAATTTTTATGTTTCATGAAACGGAAGTATTTTAATCTCAATACATTACGAGATAAAATTATAGTATTACTGAGTGCTGAAAGTAACAGTAAAACACTATTGTTCATGATTGAAAAATAAGCAAATAAAATATGTTTGTAAGATAACCCATTTTTAAACCAATGAAAATTTAAATAAAAATAAACGTGGCGCCATACAACCGGTTTAAAATATTTACGCATGCGCGTTAACATTCTTATTGTGAACACAGCCTTATATGCGCACGCGAAATAAATTTAGGTTATATTTTGGCTGCATCTGTCAAAATTGACATTTATAAACAGTAGAAAAATGAATGTGTTAGACAAATTACGATATTTAGATGCATATCCTAAAGTACTCGAGGATTTTGACAGTTTTCGAATAAAAACATCTGGAGGAGCTGTTGGTATATATGTTTACAATTATTATAGATTTAATATTTATAGGATTTATTCTGTGAAACTTTGAACTGTTCTTAAATTACTATTCAGCTTTTTAAATATGTTTTAAAAAAACAAAAACTTGATCAATTAAATTAATATTATTTACAAAAAAAAATTAATAATTAAGAAAGAAATAAAACCACGTGGCAAAAAATAAGAGTTAACCTTCAAAAAATTATAACCTCACTTCCGATATTATTTATCATTTGTATTCTATAATATATTCAAATAAAGTGTCGAGATAGTTTAGTAATAAACTGACAATTTATTAATATAATTTCTAATTTTTTCAATGATTCTTTTCAGTGACAATTATAAGCACAATTATAATGGTACTTCTCTTTATTTCTGAAGTCAGTGACTTTCTCACACCTAATATTAATGAAGAACTGTTTGTTGATACTTCTAAAGGTTCAAATTTGAGAATTAATATCGATATAGTCATACCAAGAATTTCCTGTGATCGTAAGTAAAAAAAAATTAATTTTTGAATTTTATGTTTAAACAAAACATAAACACGAAAAATAAATGATAAACAATGTTTTTTTTCAGTTTTATCTTTAGATGCAATGGATACGACTGGCGAACAACATTTGCACATAGAACATAATATATATAAAAGACGATTAAATTTAGAAGGGAGACCTATTGAAGAACCAAAGAAAACAGGTATGTACTTTTAGAATATTATCAAAGTAATTAGTATATAGTTTTTAACTTTTTCTAATGTTTAATTTTGCATAACAGATATTACGGAAGTTAAACAGAAACCAGTTGAAAAGGTACGAGTTAATATTTAAATTGTTAGCAAGTTTTTTTATTTTTGAAAACTAGGATCAATCGTAATATTGTATAAAAAATTTCTTAAAATTAAAAGAACTAAATGAAAACAATTTTTTTTTTAAATATATGCAGAACACAACAGTGGAAACGTGCGGAAGCTGTTATGGAGCGGAAGATGAAATAGCAGATATAAAGTGAGTTCCTAATAGAAGAATTAAAAACACTTTGTGTAAAAATAAAAAGACCTACATTTTTTATTCAAACAAAAAGAATCCTCGAATATTTAGATACACAAATGTGGATTTCAAACAAAAAATATAAATCTGAATTTTGAATAAAAACAACAAAAATATATTTATCATCAAGAGAAAATTGAAATGAAAATTACAGATGCTGTAACACTTGCGAGGCAGTGAAAGATGCATATAGAAGAAAAAAATGGGCGGTGTCAGATCTTTCAAAATTTCATCAATGTCAAAACGACAAACGAGTGGAAAAAATGAAACACTCTTTTACAGAAGGTTGTCAAATTTACGGTAAAATGGAAGTTAATAGGGTCGCTGGAAGTTTTCACATTGCGCCAGGTGAAAGTTTTTCAATAAATCACATTCATGGTAAGTTGAATTAAAATTCTGCATAAAAAAAAAGAAAAATTTAATAAAAACAAAACTAATTTTCGTTTTTTTTTTTATAGTACACGATGTTCAACCACATGCTTCCACACAATTCAATTTGTCACACGTTATACGTCATTTAAGTTTTGGGATCAATATACCAGGCAAAACAAATCACTTGGATAATACCACCATTACAGCTACAGAAGGTAAGACGCATCTTCCTTGTCAATATTTGTTTTTTTATTAAAAAAGTCATAATAGTGGATTGAAAATGCTGCTTTTTCTCCCTATAGCTAATATACACAATTTCCTGTTGCTATACTAACACCTTATGCCAGATCCAATCGCCATAAATGTGCCAAATGTTCCTCCACTTTGTATCATTATCTTCCCCATGTTGTTTACCAATTCCCTTCCCCTCATGCCAGACCTGATAATTAAAAATTCATTTTTTTTTTAATTTTGTGTAAGTTATGTTTTTGAGGAATGTTTCCATTTTTTCTTTATATTTAGAAAAATATAATGAAAATCAGTAATATAGGGTTGTATGTAAAATTCTTCCTCGATTGTAGTTCAATTCGAATATAATATTATATTTAAAAATCATGTTTTTTTTTAGAAATTTTAATTTAGTGAACTGTCTATGTCTTTTACGGACATTGGACTTTGTTAGATATTTTATGACAATTCTTTCTAAAGATATGTTAAAAACATTGAACTTTGCACTGAATTTATATTTAAATTAGTTATAGAATTTTAAATACCTTAGAGCAGAAAATCCTCCAAAAATCGCACCAGAAGCCAATCCCACACAGAATCCCATCGTAAATCCCATTTTTATTCTGTCCCAACATGATGGGCCTTGTTGATATGATCCACCACCAACGACCGGCATTGTAACCTGAAAAAATATATAACATTAATAATGATAGATTAATATTTTTTGGTTCCTGTAATAAAATCATTTTTGTTTTAATTCGGTATTTACATTTGACGCGAAATAGAAATTATTTTTATCTTTTTTTTTTTTTTAAACAAAAATTCACGAAAGTGAAACTTTTTTCCAATGACAGAAAATGATGTTTAATTGTCACTCGATGAATTTTTGAATAATCTAAAAACAGTGAAATACAAAAAATTATTGAAAATACGTACAATAAATAGGAGTTAATACTTTGTTTTAATTAAAATCTTTTAATAACACATGGATCACACTTTTTTTTAGTTAATCAGTCGGCGGACATATTGATTTCATTCATGGCAGCCAATATAGAAGAAATATGAAAGTCACTAGATTTTTGTGTTGGCTGTCATGTAAAACTCTAGACATATTTTTCAGGAAAATTTAAATTCATATTTTTTGTACATAAATTAACTAAATTTTTTTTATTTATTTCCTTATATTTTTTGTTATTATTAATAATTCTGTAAATAATATAATTTAAATTAATAATTGTGATAATTATTGAAATATTTATAAAAAAATATATTTTAAAAAATGAAAATAACTATTTTTTTTCTTATTTTCAGGAGCAATGATGTATTACTATTATATAAAAATAATTCCAACGACATTTGTCCGTAAAGATGGTTCGTTACTTTCCACAAATCAATTTTCAGTGACAAGTCATTCGAAACATGTATCGCCAATGTCAGGAGATTCAGGAATGCCGGGAATATTTTTTAATTACGAATTAAGTCCATTAATGGTGAAATACACTGAGACAGCAAAGTCATTTGGACATTTTGCAACGAATCTCTGTGCAATAATTGGAGGAGTTTTTACGGTTGCTGGGCTTTTTGATGCTTTCCTATACCATTCGATTCGAGCAATTGAAAAGAAAATCGAATTAGGGAAATTTAGTTGAAATATTACAAATCAGTCACATAAAGATGTTTTAGTAAAGTATTATTTAAATTATGTAATTATATTAATTATTATTAGTTAATAATAATAATTAATTACCCGAACTAATGCGCGTGCAATCGAAGATAATTCAATATTGAAGCATGGACTAATGAAAAATAAGTTTTTTAACTTTATAAAAAATGATCTTTTATAAATATCTTCCTAATATTTCATAAATTTGTACATCTGTCCTCCATTTTATAAAAATTTGTAAATTTTTCTATACACATTATAAATTTGTACATCTTTAATTTATATGTTTATATGCGTGCATTTTTCCTGTCTTATCTGAGAATTTTTATTCTTAGATTAAGAGAAGAATTCAAGTTACAAAATATAATGATGTTCTATAATAATATATTCAACAAAAAATATTCTAATTATATACATATTATACTTACACTATAAATTTATTATTTCATATTTTCAGAAATTCATTTTACGCTACTTTGGTAGTATTTATAAAGTTTTGAGAAAATCATTATACGTTAGGATGGTGGTTTTTGCAATATTTTCACAAAATTCGGAATCTGTTCCTGACACCAAATCTTTTAGCGAAACGTACAATGGTTTCAAAGGATCGTATTGTGCTTTTTTAATATGTACCAAAAATGTGTGTCGACTTTCAAGTCTACTTTTTCGACAACTGAGTATATTTGGCTGTTGGGAGATAATTTCATGACTCAAACGCATAGTGTTGTGTGCATAATCAAAAGTGGATAACAAATTTCTCCTGCCTGAAAAATAATTATTGCCATTTAATCGATTTAAATTTGAAATAAATATTATGAATATTGTTATTTAAATTTTTTATGTTAAAAAGTATTATTTGATAATTGAAAATTACTTACACCTTGTCCATAAACGAGGACTAGTCAACAATATTAATTTGGTTTGAATTCGATCAAAGCCCATTTCTTTCATAAATGCAAAACTTTTCTTTTCGAGTGTCATCTTATCATAATTAACAAGCTTTGGCATTTTTAATGTGAGCATTCGAACTTCTTGTGCCTTTAATTTAAATTCATTTTGAAAATAACCAAGTTTTGTATCAATCTCTTGAGTTGTGAGAGAAAGCCATAATGGATATTTTGATAATATCGTGACAATCATTTTCGGCGTATAATTGTGTGCTCTTAAATAACGTATTCGAGTATGAAGATCATCTAAATCTTCAGTGAAAATTTTTGGAAATATCGTTATAAAATCACCAAGTTGATCAACTGGTAATCCGGTGTTGTGTAAAAATTGAATATAAGGTCTAACATCTTTGTCAAAATTAAGACTGACAATCATTTTCACAATGTCTAGATCCTTATCGAATTTCCATAATTCAACTCCAAGTTTTGTTAACTCTTGAACGGTTTTTGATTTATCAGCAAAACTTGCAATATTATAACTAACTTTTGCTTGACTGCCAAGATGTGACAAATCTTCTGTATTTAAATCTAAAGCTTTTGGCATTTTTGGTTTAAAACCATGTAAATAATTATCATTGTAAAAGTTATCTCTTGTAATTTCAAATAAGGAACTTGTTTCTGCTGGTTCATTCAAACTGTCTTTAATTTTTGTTGTTAAAGGCACATGAGTGACAGTTACATTTGAAATAAGATTTAATCGTGAATTTTCTTCATTCTCATTTAGAGTATTTAACGTCTCACTTTGTTTATTTATTTGTTTATTAACTGGTGAAATACCGCTTGAACATTGTCGAAAGATAACCTCACTTTTCACGCATTGATCAAACTTCCGTGCAATTTGCACAAGAAATGAGGGTTTCAGTAAAACCATTGTAGAGAAAATTGTAAAGATATCTTTTAGTAATTAAAATGGTAACTCTCTTAATTTCAACGTTATTTAATTAAAAAATATTAAGAAAACTATGTCACATTTTTCAACAAGTGATATCTGATGTCAAAACGCGTCGGTTAAATCAATATCTGTGCTCAGTTACCGACTTGTAAGCGCATGTTTACATTGTTCACAAAAGCAGTTTATACAAAATGAAAAGTGATTATCGTTTCATAAATTGACTATTTCTTGTCTCGCTAAATGACTGTAACAAACGTTTTAGCGACAAATCTGTGTCTTTTTTTGATTATCACCAGCAAGGCATTTATAATCAGAGAATTTATACTAAATGACCCCTGACAGTTGAGAAACATGGCTACATGCAGTCATACCAATTATGGGTTATTTGTTATAAATCTTCTGATTATAAATACCCAGTCACTGATAATAAAAAAAAATACGGACATGTTTCAAAAATGATTGTAACAGTCAATTAAAAAACAAGAAATAATCATTTTATGTTAATTTATTAAATGATAATTAATTTTCATTCAAAACATTTCATTCAAATTATCTATGTGCAGGGGTAAATGATAGCAGCGCTTTTCATCAAAGTGCGGCTTATTAGTGAGTCATTTGATTCCAATATGGCGAATGTGAGGGATAGTGATACTTCGTTGTGGCTTCATAATAAGCTTGGAACGTCAAACGATAGCTGGACGGGTAGTTCAATTTGTTCTCAGTTAAATGCCGAAGTTTTAAGGAATATAAAAGATTGTTTTCCAGACTTACAAACCCAAGTGAAGCTTAAATTACTTCTATCTTTCTTTCACATACCAAGACGCAATGTTGAAGAGGTAACGACTAATTGTCTCGTTATATTTTGTATGTTAATTATTAAACTATACTCTTTTTTGAATTATAAATGTATATATATTTTTTTACATTCATCCTCTCGTTTTTTGAAGTTTATTTAATGTTAATATCTTTAAACATGCGCTACTTTCTACCCGCCATCAATTTAATTTAAGGACTAATGTTTTTAGGACGGATAGTAGGTAATGTTGCATTAGATTTACATACAATGATTTTATAAATAAAATTCTGATTAAAATCTTTATTTTCAAAATCTATAGAGTAAAAAACCTATATTATTGACTTTTTGTAATCTGTAGAATGTAGTAAATTTTCGTATAGAAAAATACTGAAAGTTTATATTTATTTGTAGTGCGATTCCAGGTGAGATTTTGACTTTTTCGGAGTGAGTTAACCGATTGCAATGAAACTTTGGAATTTTGTTATATATAGTAAGACTAATCTTTAACGTAAATTGCAGCTTAAAATAGTTGTTAGTTTACGAGATTTGCAATAATAACAAAAAATATTAAACTGCAATTTACGTTAAAGATTTGTCTTACTATATATAACAAAATTCCAAAGTTTCATTGCAATCGGTTAACCTACTCCGAAAAAGTCAAAATCTCACCTGGAATCGCACTGTAATGAGTAATTTTAAATTCTATTTTTTAGTCACTGAAGAATAGAAGAAAAGTCAATTGTCAACAATTTTTCTTTCTTTTAAATAGGAAAGCAAAATTTGCAGGAATGTTAATAAATTTTGATATTTAGAATTAATTTGGAAATAGATTAAATAAGTAAATAAATATAACAGTGGTGTTGTAACAACTTTTTTTTTTTGCTTTATTTATATTTAATTTACTTTGAAATTTAGGTTTTTAATTGGTATATTTTAATCTAATGTAATGCTTTTAGTGGCGAGTGGAATTGGAAAAGATTATCGAGGTGGCATCTCTGGACAGCGAATTATGGGTGTCGATGTTATCCGAAGCGATGAAAACGTTTCCAAATACTGGCTCTTTAAATACAGATATCACTGATCTTGATGAGCATCGTCCAATTTTCGGAGAGTTAGTTAATGATTTACGAAAATTATTAAAAAAACAAAATGATCCAGCCATGTTGCCTCTCGAGTGTCATTATCTCAACAAAACAGCACTTACCTCAGTCGTTGGTCAACAGCCACAACCCACAAAACATTTTACTCTCAAAAGAAAGCCCAAGAGTGCTACATTAAGGGCAGAATTAGTACAAAAAAGTACAGATGCAGCGAGTAATTTGAAAAAGAGTACAGCACCTACAGTTCCCGTTCGAAGTAGAGGAATGCCGAGAAAAATGACCGACACAAGTAACAGAAATGAAAACTTTGTTATTATTAAATTGATTGTTACTCGAGATATTTAATAGTCTATTTTTGTTGCAGCTCCTTTGAAAGGAATTCCGAGTCAAGTTCCAAGCAGTGGATTTCGGTCTCCCTCACATACGAGTCCAGCTCTCGCGAATAGAACTCCAATTAGTAGTCGTATTCGCAAAGACGGTGGCATTAAGCTATTGGATATTAACGAACAACCTTTAGGCTATGCACAAGCCAAAAAACGAAAGAAGATGATGGAGCTGGAGGAGCAGCAGAAGAAGGTGGCAGAGGCACAGGCTGCGGCCGCAGCTGCCGCTGCATCGGCGGCAACAGCTACGGAAACATCAGCAACTCCAGAATACGCTCAGGGTCTTACGCCGATTAATCCACCAACAACAACTGTCATAACGCCAACAGTGCCACAAACTTATGTCACGCCAAACACTCCAACTGGTGTTACTGCAGCAGTTACGCCACAAACTCGTAAGATTGAAATTACAAAAATTTAATCTCACTCGAGATTAATGAATATAAGATTATTAAGTGTCAATGTATTTTTTACAGCAACTACACCCACGACACCTGCTACGCCTAGTTCGTCACTTCCAGTCGCAACTCCAGCAACTACTCCCGCCGTTGAGAGTGCACCTATTGGAGTACAAACAGTCAGGCCGGCTCAGACTGTCACGCAAATTCGTATTCAAACAGCGGCACAGCCCGCTGGTTCCACGGCGAACACAAGAAAAGGATTGTCCTTGACGGTGAGAAAATATTTTCCAATAAAAATTTGTTCATAGAATACCTATTTTGGAAATTGAATTAATTAAAATTATTATGATCTTTTTTCAGAGGGAACAAATGTTGGAAGCTCAGGAAATGTTTAGGACAGCCAATAAAGTTACAAGACCAGAGAAGGCTCTTATTCTTGGTTTCATGGCAGGTTCCAGGGGTAAGTTTGTTTTTAATACATTTATTCATCATCATCAATTTTTAAATAGAAATTAATATGTAATTTTAATTTAAATTTTATTTCAGATAATCCTTGTCCAAAATTGGGCAACATTGTGACAGTGATGTTGTCAGAAAATGTCGAGGATGTGACACAACCCGATGGAACGACAGTGTCAATGTTGGTTGAGACACACTTCCAGATGAATTACACCAATGGCGAGTGGAAAAGGATAAAGAAAAATAGACGTGTAGTATCCGATGATAATTGTGCGACGAATACATCAACCCCTAGTGCCACAGCCAAGGCTTCTAATTAAGTTTATCGATCAATCAAACATTAATAATTTAGTTCTTTTTTTGTACCTTAGATTTGTTTGCAATTCCTTTAAAGAAGAATATAAATAGACATTTATTTTAAATTTATTTTGTTTTTCTTTTCTTTTGTTCTTTTACTTGAGATTTTTAGTTTAATATTTATCATTATTCATGACAAGTTGAAAAACTTTTTCCAGAGGGAAATTTTTTTACAACTTTCTTGAATATGCGGCCTTAAAAATTTTTGGAATAGTAATTTAAAGTAGTTTATACAAACTGTGATGGTTTAATGTAAGAAAAGTTGCTGTTACTGATAGTAAACTGCGTCAAAGTACTGTTACAGTAAATTAATCTTTATTTTACATATACATATAACAAAATAGTTTCTTATACATACCGCATAATTTTTACACGTCAATATAAAATTTTCGAATTAAAAAAAAAGTAACGCAAATATTTTCTAATTAACATTAACTATCATTCGCTTTCGAAATAATGTAAAAATTCAATTAGTTGCTCATGGCTCTTTGTTAAAGCTATATATAAATTGTAAATGTTTTATTCGACAATGTCCTGTAAAATCGAGTTTGCGAATATAAAATGAACAAGTGTTTCTGTGCGAGAAGAAACTGTATGTTAAGATTTTTTTTTATCTATAGAACAGCCGAGTGATTACGTTTAGAGAGTAGATTAATAAAACGAGAAAAATCAAAATTCAAATTGACATGTACAGACAGCAGTTTTCGTTTTTATTTCTTATTAATTGTGCAGTTGAATTAAAATTGATGATCTAAATTCGTATGTCTAATAATATAATGTGCTACTTAATAATTTAATGAAATTCAGTTGTACCTAAAGATTTCTAAATTATTTTGTTAAGCTTAGACGTAAAATTGAACAAAGAGGTAGATTTAAAAATTAAACGAATTCTTATTATTTTTAAAATTGTTTCTCGTAATTAAATTATAATATATATTTACAAATGTAGCAAATGAAAGCAAGACTCTTATAATGTTGTTATATAAATAAAATATAATTATATTGATTAAAAACTGCTTATAATTTTCAGTTTTGGTTATTAATTTATTTTATTTTGAAGTTTATCCATTATATTTTGCTTTAAATTATGTTCATTTTCTTTTCTTTAATTAATTAATTTATTATTATTTATTTTTAAATTTTGCTTTTTTTTATTAATTCTATTGTTGAATTTTGTGGTAGAAATTTAAATTTAGAGTCAGGAATTCATCTGAACCGGAAGATTCTTTAGTTTCTAAATTGACTTTTATGCACTTAGATGAATTATTTTGTTTAACTATTTCATTTCTATTCTTAAATATTATTATGTATTATTTTTATTTCATTAATTTTTAATTTCTATTATTCATAATTTTATTTGTTTATCTTACCTGAAGGGTAGAAAAAAAGATAAAAAATTTAAATTTTGTCCTTATAATATCAAAGAAACCGGAAGTTCATGTTTTCAATGAAATATTTCGCAAGTGAAGGTTGAAAAAAGTATTTTATTCTTTTTATCAATAAAACAAAAAATTTCGACAATAATTTAAACCAATTTATATATTTTTGAATAATATTTAAGAAGATATATGTACAAAATATAAAAAAAATAGTGAATTCTTTTCGAACGACAAACAATTATATAGAATAGGTATTGTTACATAACCTATAAAAAGAACATTTTGATGTACGAGAGATAAAGCTTTGACGATACGGATAAACTTATAAACATTAAATATTTTCCACGATTTTGCCTTAGAAAACAGTATTTAGTGCATTTTTAAATAATATTTTAGTGTATAAGTATAGAAAAAACAAGTTGTTGCAGAAATTAGCTATAATGTCTCGATTCCTGACAAATTTGTATCCTCAGGCTAGAAGTTTGGTAAGTGTATTAATATAATTCTAATGTTGATTCTTTTAATAATATTATTTTGTTAATAATAAAAATTGTTGTTTAACTTCATTTTTTTAGTAGATGTTCTTATATCTTTCCGTTAATTCATCAATAATAAAACGATTGTCCTATATCTTTTTCTACATTTTTAAAACTTTAATAAAGAAATTTAAAAAACTTTCAAAATAAAATTTATTTGTCTTTGTTTGCAATAATAATTATTTATTGCCTTACAGGATTATTTTTAATAAATACTATGTAATATTTAAGATTTAAATTTATTTAAATTATTAAGTACATAATTATGTGAATGTAAATTTTTATATCGTTTTCATAGGTTTCTGCTTTGACCTCAACTGCAACAAAGTTGAATAATCCTATTCGTTTTGAAAGTTTGCGTCAATTTGGAGTCACTTCCCAATTATTGTCATGTTATCCACAAATTCAAAAACCGGCTCCAGAATTTGCAGGAACAGCAGTAGTTAATAAAGACTTCAAAGACATAAAACTCAGTGACTACAAAGGGAAATATGTGGTACTCTTCTTCTATCCTTTAGACTTGTAAGTATTTTACAAATCTAAATTTTCCAACATTTATTTGTAACGAAAGAATAAGGTAGCAATTTTTAGATTGTAGTACATGACATAAAAACATTATGTAAACATTTTATTTTTCAAGCAATTCATATATTTCTTACGAGAAAAGAAATTTTTTATTTAAAAAAAAATTATGTTTCTTATTTTTGATAATCACAAGCCATGTAAGTTGATTATATTTCACGAAGCTGAAGTACGCAACGTTTATGATAAACGATTTTTAAAGAAATAATTTTTTGCATAAAAAATATTTTTTTATAATTTGTTGATTAATGAAAACTACAAGAAATATTTTTTAGGCCAAAAATTATAAAATTTTTCATTTTAAAAAATTATTTCTTTAAAAATCGTTTATCATAAACGTTGCGTACTTCAGCTTCGTTATATTTCAATGATTTTAAATTGTCTATATTCTTATAACATGTAGAGCAATCTTAAAGTGCTTGTGAATTTTTTAAAATCGTAATCTTTTTAAAAAAGAAAAAACTGTAATTTTTTTAACAATAAATAAGTTTATTAAATTATTTAGTTAATCTAAATAATATTAATCTGTTAATAAACATCAGTAGTTACAATTATTGTATATAATAATTTTCATTGAAAAGTTATTTTCTGACTCGTACATCTTTTTAAAATAAATAACTGAACAAATTCATTTTTAAATTTAAATTTTGTAATGTAGAAACACAAATGAAACCTTACTTAACGCTTTTCAATTCAATAAATGTTTTAATTTTTGGAGATAGCAAATTTTAATTTATACATTATTCAATACCTTTAGATTTACATTATTTAACTTTCAATATGTAACGAAGCTAAAGTATGCAACGTTTATGATAAACGATTTTTAAAGAAATAATTTTTTAAAATGGAAAATTCTATAATTTTTTTCCTACAAAAAATATTTCTTGTAGTTTTCATTAATCAACAAATTATAAAAAAATATTTTTTAAGGAAAAAATTATAGAATTTTTCATTTTAAACAATTATTTCTTTAAAAATCGTTTATCATAAACGTTGCGTACTTCAGCTTCGTCAATATGTAGTTAAAAATTTTTGTGCGTGTCACTTTCGTTTTTATCAAATTTATATTTGAATTCTAAATTACAACCTTTTAAAATGAAAGTATTTTAAAGAGCATATCTAACTATTAAAGTTTCTATTTATAAGCAACTTTTAATTTCAGTATTTCGAAATTAATCTTAATTTTTTTTGTTATATTTAAATATTAATTTAAAGTAATTAAGTAGTAAATAATATAAATGAATTAAAATAAAGTTATAAATAATTGAATTATTACATAATCACATAATTAATAATAATATTGTTCTTTTATTTACTCTCCCTGCCTTACGCAGGGTTCGAGGACCCAAATACATTTTTCTTACAAACTAATATTTACAAAAAAATCCTTAAAACTAAACGCAACTTATAACTAACTTAATTAATAATAATATTGTGTTTAGTAAAATTCTGTTATTAAATTGGTTAATATTAAACAATTAAGTAGGAAATAAATTCATATTTACATATGATATTAATATTACATTTAATAACTTAATAGTAATATCTTTTTTTTTATTAAAACTTTTATATTAATTTATTAATAAATTACTATATTAATTAAATTAATGTTCGTAAATTTGTGGTTTTATTAAATTTGAATATATGCGCCTTACTTTTCTTGCATTGTACGCATGCGCAACCAGTTGTTTATTTGACTCACATAGTACTTGGATGTTCTCCGGAAAAGTCTGTCTTGTATAATTTTCCAATATTTCAATTAATTTTACATAAAATTTGTTTTCTTTTTTTTTGAAATTCAATAGTTGTAATTGGTATATATTTTTGTAGTAATGGTGTATAAATTTTGTGCAAAAATTTCTAAATTGATCATGAAATAACGTAATTATGATAGCTTGTCAGAATTTAGGTGAGGTTTTTTTTCTCAATTTTTATTTATTTGACTAAAATACTTTATTCGTGACTATTTTTAAAGTTCTTATTAGATGAATACTACAATGTTTTTGTCATATTTTTGTAAAATTTAGTAAAAATATTGCCGTATGAAAATAACATTTTCGCGGTTATAAATACATATAATATGCGCATGCGCAACATCTAACTCGCACAAAAATTCTTTGACATTTCTTTCTTGCTTTTTGCTTGCAATTTTTAGAATTAATTAATTTATACTTAAGGGGACTTTCTAGTTTAGAATTGACAAAAAAGTACACGTTTTAAAACTTTTGTTGTAGGAAAGTATTAAATAAATTGCAAAAATTCTTTTTGGACATTATTGCACATTACATAGAGAAAATTAAAAAAAATATTTTTAAGTGTATTTATTCAAAATTTCTTAGCTGTAGGGTGGCGTCTTCTAAAAGGTGCCTTTTTTTGGTACAGGTGATTGCGGACAACCTGTAATCTATAATTTCAAATTTCAAATGCGAATCTCTTCATAAGGGTTTATTCTAGACAATAAACCTTTGAAACTTTATTTTTCTACCTTCTGCTTTTTTAATAAGGGGGTAAATTGCCCCAAAAAAACGATGTTTTTTCGAATTTTTAAGAAAAATGTTCATAAAAAATAAAAAAATGAAAAATGAAGAGATTCGCGTTTGAAATTTGAAATTATATATTACAAGTTGTCCGCAATCACCTGTACCAAAAAAAGGCACCTTTTAGAAGACGCCACCTACAGCTAAAAAATTGAACTAAATACACTTAAAAATATTTTTTTTAATTTTCTCTATGTAATGTGCAATAATGTTCGAAAAGAATTTTTGCAATTTATTTAATACTTTTCTTACAACAAAAGTTTTAAAACGTGTACTTTTTTGTCAATTCTATAAAGCAGAAAGTCCCCTTAATAAAGTCCATAAATCTCTTTAAAAAATTTTTGAGTTAAATTGTATGCAAAAAGAAATTAAGAAGAAACATTTTTGCAATTAAATTCTAAACAATGACGCATCTGCATTATTCATAATTCGCGTGTTTTTGTTAATCTTAAAACTCTTACAATTATTTCTGATCGGTAGTCAAATCTATATTAAATTAAAAAATATATATAGCACAATTTATTTGTTTATTTCAGCACATTCGTATGTCCAACTGAACTTATTGCCTTCAGTGAAAAAATTAAGGAGTTTCACTCGTTGCAGACAGAAGTCATTGGTGTTTCAACTGATTCACAATACAGTCATTTGGCTTGGATAAATACACCAAAAAAATTAGGTGGTCTTGGAGGAGATTTGGGTTATCCTTTATTAAGTGATTTTAATAAGAAAATATCAGCTGATTATAATGTACTTGTCGATAATGCTGGTATTGCTTTTCGAGGACTTTTTGTAATTGATAGAGAAGGAATCTTAAGACAATTGACTATTAATGATCTTCCTATTGGAAGAAATATTGATGAAACATTAAGAGTTATTAGAGCTCTTCAATTTGTTGAGAAACATGGAGAAGTTTGTCCCGCAAATTGGCAGCCCGATTCCAAAACAATTAAACCCACTCCTAAAGAAAGTAAAGAATACTTCGAGACTGTAAATTAACACATTTTTTTTTATGTTCGCATAATTGAAAATCAAAAGTGTATAATTTCTTCGAATTTTTGCCGGTAAGTGCTGCATTTTAAATTTACGGGGATTTATTGTTAACAAACAGTTGATGTATATATATTTTTTTCAAAAAAAAAAAAAAAAAAAAAAAAAGCAAAACTTTGTTTAATCTATTTTTTGAGTTCTTTGACGAATGCTGAGAATTAAAGAATAGATTTAGTTTAAAACTGACATTTATGATAAAATTCCGTCGAAAATTGAAAAGATTAAGGAACGTTTATTAATTTTTATTTATATTTATTATTAATAACAGAATTACATTATACTTATTCTTAAAGATTTGAAACTATCAGTTAATTGTCCAATAATAGTTTTGAGAAATAAAAATTATAAAAATATATATAGTTCTATAAAATCTTTTCAATTTTCATCGAATATCAATTAATTAATTAATATATTAAATTCAATTGAATGAAATTTAATTTAATTATATAAATTGTGCCTTTTTTAGGAAACCTTATAAATTTTTTTTTCTCGAAATGACGTTCAATTTTTGCATCAAGTATAAAAAAGAAAAAATTGAATGAAAGCTATCAAAACCGGAACAGCGTTTGATACTTCCGCGAGTGTATATAAGGCACGTGTGTAGTTCAGATATAAGGCGTACGTTTTATACTTGCGCGCGGAGTTTTCCCGCAGGATTGAGGGTTGGGTCTTTGCTGGTTCAATCAGTCGCAAAGGGCACAAGGGTTTGTGAAACTTGAATGGAAAGAAAGAAGGGTGATGAAAGCAAACGAGAAAGCGAGACAGAGTTAGAGCAATCTCGCGTTGGTTGATTTGATTCTTTGTGACGATGGGAGCAATAGCGGATTCAGTCATCGAAAGACTGTTCAGGATTATCCTCATTCTCCATCTTCAGTCACTGATCATGTCGCATTTACAACAACAGACCTGAAAAATGATTTGTGGTCTCCTCTATCGTTTAACAATAAAATCTCTTCTCAAGTTTCTTTTGGCGAAAATTAAAATTTTTATCTTCAGACAAATTATCACTGAAAGTGAATTGGAACGAAAATATTGTGAATCGAGAATTATTATTTTTAGTTCGAGAGTATTGTTGATATTGAAGTTCTTGTATTTATCTAAATGTTTTATGTCGAATTCTCTAGTTTATCGAATTTTTATATTTTAAATTATTATTGAATTTCCATTACTGTTGGGTTTTTATTATTATTTACAATTCCTCTTCTGTATTTTATGATTATTTGAAAGTTTTTCGTATTCAGGGTATATGAAAATATGCTCGAGATAGGACGATTTAATTTCGAAATGAAATTTACAAGTTTAGCGAATTTGAAAGCGCGTGCGAGGGAATGGAACGAGATCGAAACACGGTCTCTTACAAGTTTATAGGACTCGTGATAAATTTGCAAGTAGAAGCAAAAGGGAAAGAGAGAGCTTATTATTTTGTGAAGAAAGTAAAGACCGGGGACCGCTGTCGGTAACGCCCCAAAGGATGGTATAAAGTAACCGGAGATGAGAGAGAGAGAGAGAGAGAGAGAGAGAGAGAGAGGGGGGGGCAGAAGGATGAGGTATAACTGAGAGGGTGAGGAAAAACTGAAAAGCGACGCCAGAGATAAACGGCTCATCCTCTCTTCTATCTCACCAAATCCAATCCTGTCCCGCGTACGAAAAGTCTCTCAAGACTAATCATATTCGAGCTTTTTACTACATATATGGTTCATACTTATCTACATGCTCAAGCGTCACACTGTGATTCAAAAGTCAGAGAGAGAGAGAGTTTGAGAGAGTGAGGGGGAGGGAAACTCGGTAATTTCTGGCACCGATGAAAAGCTTAACAATTTGATATTGATAAAGAAATTTGATTGATATTCAATCAAATAAGCATTACTAAAAAGATTATTATTAATCATTATTATTAAGATTATTATTATTATTATTAATAATAAATATTACTAAAAAGCAAGATAAGAAATTTGATTTGATAACAATTTTGTTGAGAGGGTAGGCTAATATTTAGAAGGGTATTTAAATAAAATGATATTACATATATATATTTTAATTTGTTTGTGATTTTTATGTAATTCTATATTTGTTTATTCTTAAAATTCGAAATAAAGGAAAAAATGTGAATGCATTGCACTTAAGAAGGAAATTTTAATAATAATATGCAACATAAAATAGGTAAACGATGATGAGGAGTGGGTGAAAAGTGGTAATAGTGGTGGAGGATGATGGTTTTGTAAAGGGTATCTTTTTGCATGGAAAGGGGTAAAAGATGAACGTTCATGGAGTGCGCGGTGTGGTCTGGGCCGAGGAGACACTGGGAGTGGGCGTGCATCCATCCATATCCATCCCAGGGTGGCTACTGGGGCTCTGATTACTTGTTTTAATCTTCCGACTGCCGACTGGGCGAGCATCTGTCACTCAAAATCCATAATTGCGAGCAGCCACCCCTTTTGCCTTTTGCAATACTTGAATACTTTGGTGCCAACTATTAACCGAGCTAGGTTCTCAACGGCGCTTCTTTTATTTTTCTATTAGGTGCCTATTTTCTTTTCCTTTCAACATTTTCTTGTTTTTTTTTTATTACTATTATTATTATTATTATTATTATCATTCCCTCCCCTATTTTCAACTACTACAAGAAAAAGCTTTCTTTTTTTCGCAAAGTTATTGACGAAAGGATTTATTATATTATGAGTTAGAACAACTATAAGTAAAGAAACTATTTTTTGTGACAAATGTGTGAATAAAAAGTTTACGATAGAGAAAAAACCATTTAGAATGTTCAAAAAATTTATTTTTTTATTGGTTTAAAAAATGCTTTGAATCTAAATATTTTTTAGTACTACAAACAAATATTTAAATATATTATAAATATATTTATTATATTAAATCCCTGTATACACGATGTATACAGATATAAGATTTCTAAGGATCTTGAAAAACCTAGAAAAGACCTGAATTCGATTTTTTGCAGAAATTAATGAAAAACATAAAAAAATTGAATATAAAAATTATTTTTTGTATATTTTAAATTAATGTTAATATTCTTATTGTTAATTATTATTCTAATATATATTTTATACAAATTTATGATTGTTTATTGTAAATGATTCTAATTTGGGATGTCCTAAACACATTTTTTTTAAAGAGATATGAAGTAGAAAGTCGAAAAAGAAGAAAATCGTAAAGAATTCTTATTGAGGAGGTATTAAAGAAAGACTGTCATAAATGCGTCTGACCACGAAGCTATCCACTTACGAGACGAATGGTCGAGGTGGTCATCAGATCGATGAAAAGAGATTCGCTCAAAGCCACAACCATACAACTCAAGAGTGAGCCAAGCAACATGACGGGGTGGTTTGAAAAACGTGAGGTGAAGTAAAATCGAGGTAAGTTCTCTATCTCTTCCTCTTTTGCCTTTATCTATATATAATAGAGAATTGACGATCCGCCTTTGGAGAATCGGTTCCAGTTAACTTCTTTTTTTTTCATTGTTAAATGTAATCGCGACTTTTTTTTAATTTCTTTCATTTATAATCATTTCAATATTGTTTATTTAAAAATATGGATGATATTTACATTACGTCCGAGTTTTTTTTATTGCATTTAAAAAGTTAATATCTTTTTTATAATTGTTTCATAGTTTTTTTTTTATTTTTACACACATGAAAATAATAAGAAAATTTTGTAATAAGTTAAATTAAAATACCTTTTCATATATATGAAGTTAGTGACCGTTATAATTAATTAATAAGATTTATAACAGGCTTATCGGTCAAAAAATATATTTTATTAATTTATTATAAAAATAAAATTATTGTGTCGACGTTTCGGGTCGGTACCAAGCCATTTTCAGGATTAAAAAATGGTGCCGCGCTGCACCTCTCTCTACTGCGCGGCACGTCAACTGCCAGCGCAACGTGCACTGAAAAAAAATTCTGGTTAGGCTATATTTAACATTACTTTCTAGTTATGCGTTAACCAGAATTCTAGTTGAATTAACTAGAATTCTCGTTAAAATAACCAGAATTCTGGTTAACCTAACCAGAATCAAAATGTTAAATATACCCTAACCAGAATTCTGGTTATTCTGACTAGAATTTTTTTTCAGTGTGTCTACCGCCCGCGATCTAAACAAGTGTAAACGAGTTACGTTGAATTCGCTACAATTTTGTGAATTGTATTCTTATTATTAGTTTAAAATATTTTTTACAAAAGTGTTGTTTTTTTAACATTTAATATTTAAATATTATATATTTAGCATTTAATTAAATATATTTTGTTCATTTTTTATTGATATTTTCTATCAACTTCTCTCGAGTGTTTATTATTGTGTCAACAAGTCTGTTTTCTTAATAAGTGAAATGTTTTTTAATGTTGACTATTAATCCAGTTTTACATTAAAAATGGTACCTGTAAATAAGTGCTGTAATCCGTTATTGAAAAAAAACCATAATTCAATTTACAAAAATATTAAGCTTGTCAGTCTGAATTCAGTTCTCTCATAGGCCAATACATATGCATTTCATGTAGATGCAGAATTGGCTCTGATAAATTTAAAATTAAAAAATCTTTTCCTAATATTTCCGAAAATGAAAAATTGCAAGAAAGAATGGAAAAAGTATCAGGTAAAAATCATTAAATTTATTTTTAAAGGAATGTATTCTTTTATTTTTATTATTTTATAGTAAATTCTTTTGTCGATCGAGAATTTTGATGATTTTTAACATGGTTAACATGGTTAATTTTGCAGTTAAACAATTAATTTTACAATAACAATTAGTAATTAGCAACAAAATTTTTTTTTATTTTTTCAATTAAAACTCCAGTATTTCAGGTTTTCAGAGAAATGTCGTTCATTAAAATTCGTCTATTCTATTCCAAGATATGAATTTTTTAACTAAACAGTGTAAAAAACTTCAATTGTTTATAACTAAGAGAAATTTAAATTTTTCAAAAAATCCTTTAAACCGTTTAATAAACTCATAATGAAGTTTACATTTTTCATATTGACAATTAAAAACAGTAAAATTGAAAATTTGCTGTTACACTTCAGGAATTCTTACTCCTTTATATATACCGATCGATTTGTCTTGACGTAAGCAATACGATTTTATTATAAAGAACCTTAAATTTTTCTATTTAAAAATTTTTTAGATTAAAAAAAACTTTTTGTAAAAAAGACGATAAAATTTTTTTTT